CTTCCAGAAAGTACATGCCATTGTATCTGAGGAAAGAAGTCATGCTCCCTGCCTAAGACCTTTCTAGAAAACTGGTTCTTCTTAGTCAGACATGGTGGCACATGGCTGTAAGCCCAGAAACTTCAGAAGCTTAGGCAGGAGAATCACAAGTTCAAGGCTAGCCTGGGCAACTTAGTGAGATTCTATCTCAAAATAAAAAATAAAGGATAGAGCTCAGTGGTAGAGCACCCCTGAGTCCAATCCCCAGTCCTGGAAAAAAGAAAGAAAATTGTTCTTTATGTTTTCATGTAGTTATCCATCAGTGGAGTCATCTGAGATGAGTCGACCACATGTAACTTGGGCAGTGTTCTCTGGTGCTCCAGACCTGACTCTAGTGGTTGATTTTTGTGAGACAGAGACTCACTATGTTGTCCAGGCTGGTCTCAGACTCATAAAATCAACCGATCCTTCCACCTCAACATCCCTAGTTGCTGAAACTGTAAGTAGGTGGCACTATTCCCAGTTAATTTCCTAATTCTTTAATTTCCAAAGAAAGGAAGAAAATTCTTCTCCTTATCTAGAATATTTTTCCCTAAAAATATCAGTTGCAACCAGGGTTTAGTAGGTGGTAAGTTTTTGAAAAGAACAAGATGTCTGAATGCATGTGAGGTGAGTGTTACTTCATGAGACTTTTGTATCTGGATTAAAATAACAAGGCCTTGCCTGGCTTGTGCTCAGAGAGGCACTGAGTACCCTCCAGCTTCCTCTTAAGAATAGAACTTTCTTCTAGAATGGAACAGTCTATCACAAGATCAAACAGGTTTCTAAATTCTTTCAACTTTCTTGATATGACATTTTTTAAAGATCAAAACAGCTCTTCAGCAAATGGATGGAATAATTATAAACCTAAAAATTGTTTTTGTGTAGAAAAAGGCCTTTGATTACACTGAAGTATTTCTTGAGCAGCCAGATGAACCTTAGATCCAAATGTGTTTCTGGATGAAAAAATGTGTTTGACTTCCATCTGCAGAAGGCAGTCATTTCCAATATTATCTTTTGTTTATCTTCTTCCTTATCCATCTGGTGACAGCTGAATAAATTTAAAATCTCTTCTAGGATTCAAATGTCTCCTTAATGTAAACTACTTAGACAGTGATATAGAAATTAAGGAATTTTTTTTTTTTTTTTAGTGGAATAGAGATTTTGATGATCACTTAATGACTCCCTTGTGGACCCTGACTTATCTGACAGGAAGGCATTTTGCACTCTGGATAATGAGTCCAGGCAGAATTTATGTTCTGCAGTTTGACATCATAGGCCCAAAGGAGTCAGCCCTACTGGGTACCACAGCAGCAAGTGCATAGACCCTGAAATCTAAGGACCTGGCTTCTTCCTGGTCCTGCAACCTACTGGTGTGTAATCTTGGATGAGTCACTTAAAATCTCTAAACCTGATTTTTCATCCATAGAATGGGATAATAAAAAAAAAGGCTGCTGAGGATATAGCTCAGTTGGTAGAGCGCTTGCCTCACATGCACAAGGCCCTGGGTTCAATCCTCAGCACCACAAAAAAGAAAAAAAAAAAGATATCCCATCTCCTTCATAGGATTACTGTAGTTGAAATCAATAAGCCAGGCAAAATATCAATTGCTTTATGTAACCATCAAAAGTACTGTGAAGTACAAACCTTCTTATTTGATGTGAGAATAACTTGATTGATCTAAAAACTTAATTACAGCTGGGTGCAGTGATGCACGCCTGTAAACCCAGCGGCTTGGGGGGCTGAGTCAGGAGAATTGTGGGTTCAAAGCCAGCCTCAGCAAAAGCGAGGCACTAAGCAACTCAGTGAGACTCTGTCTCTAAATAAAATACAAAATAGAACTGCGGATGTGGCTCAGTGGTTGAGTGTCCCTGGGTGCCAAAAAAAAAAAAAAAAAAAGTGAGTTACAGGGTAGAATTGTGAAAACTATATACATCCTTTAGACATGTTTAGTTTAACTTAAAACATAAAAATACATTTTCTTCTGGTGTGGGGACAAGGCTTTTTGCCTGAGTCTACGGAAGGAGACTCATTTGGAGGGGGAGCATAAAGCAAACCCCACGTGTATCACCTGTTGAGTTCTAGGTTGGGTTTTGTAACATAGCAGACAGAGAAAAACACCTAAGGCAGGCTGTGGGTGCGAGACCTTCCCGGGTCCTTGTTGCCCCCTAGCCTCTCACCCACAGGTAGGCAGCGGCAGTGGCTGGACAACCCGCTGTGGCACTCAGCCATTCCAGATGACTCAGTGCAGTTCCACAGAAGGCCCCTTCTGTACTCACATTTCACGAGCTGACAAACATGCAGTTCACTAACTGAAATAAGTAAGCCAAGCACGTCACGCAACCCCCTGGTGGGAGCTGAAGCCCCAGTGTGGTCAAGAGCATCCAGTGACRTGGGCTGGACCAGCGAGCTTCTGAGGGGCAAGGGAGCCCTGACGCGGTAATCAACCCCACTTCCCGGGGGGGCAGCTCAGGTGTGGAGAACTCACAATATAACACAGGAAGGGCAGATGGAACCCAGCYACCTGAGGTCACCGGAAACTTTGACGAGGCATGACGTGGAGTGGAACGCAGCCGTAGAAACTTGGGCACATAGAGGAAGGACATACAGGCAGGGAAGACAGAGGTAGTAAGGTCCAAAGGAACACTCCCAAAGCAGAATTTGTCACTGAAGCCACCTGACCAGAGCCAGGGGCCTAGCAGGGGGATGGGGGGGCTAGAGGTGCACACTGGATGACCCTGGGGCTAAGACACTGAGTTCAAGGCCACGGGAGCCGCCGGCTACTTTCCTCAGAAGAGCAACAAACATTTCAACCCAAACCACMGCCACGCAGGGTGAGAAATGGGGCTGCTGAGACCCGAGTGCAGGAGGCCACCTGAGAGGTGACTGCGGGGAAACGGGTGAGAGGTCCCAAGGGGTCTGTTGGGGACCCCGCCACATGCTGGGTCTTCTCTCTTTGGCCAGCAAGTGTGGGAGGAGTAAGAGGCTATGTCTCTACAGCGGTGTCCTGCCACCCCACCACCAGGTTAAAATGAGATCACACCCAGGCAATGTCTGTACCTGTCCATCTTGCCCCACAGCGTGGGGCTCATGAAAGAGGCCGCATGAGGAATGGGTCAGTGCCCATCTCTACGTAGCTGAAATGTTTCTGCACACTAGCCTGGAAGCTCATTAAAACAGTATATAAAGGAAATTAAGAAGTAATCTCTGAAAATGAAAAAGAAAATTAAACGAGTGATTATGTGATATCCTAATTATATCATTCTTGGTGTTAAAAACTGGAATTGGTTTGGTAAGGCAAATACAAACCAAAGAAATAAAAGTAAAAACCATGCAGCCCTGATTACCAGTATGAACTCATGGAGTATTTTATCTTAAAGCCACCACAGTAGTATCTTAGTCCCCATAGAAACCTCCTAGACCTGTCTCAATAGGCATCCCTAGTGCTCTGGTTGCAATTCTCCAAAGACCATTTTCCAGAAACAAGGAGACAGTCTTCCTTGGAGAAACTGTTGCTTTCGAGTCAGGCAGGAAATGCACAAGATAAGCCTGGGCTACCTTGTAACAGCGCCCAGTGAAGCTGACACTTGGGTGATGCAAAGACTCAGGAACCAAATAGAGGAAGCGTTCACTGGCCACAAATGGAACAATCTGAGCATGACCAGGAGTGACCATTTCAGAGGATTAAAGTCAAGCCAGGCCCAGGTTGTGTCCGTCTGTGATCTCAGCCACTTAGCAAGGCCCTGTCTCAAAACAAAATGGGCTGGGGATGTGCCCRGTGGTAGAGTGCTCCTGGGTTCATTCCAACCTCCAAAGAAAAGGACTTCAAGTATTTTAAATTCGTGGACTGTTAATGACACGGGTGCTTTAACTGTACACCATTTCACCACTGGAGGACACTGAACCACGCATTATTCTACAGGCATGAAGAATAGTGCCTTTGTTCTGCCTTTCTTAAAAACTTCACTTTTAGGGCTGGGGATATAGCTCAGTTGGTAGAGTGCTTGCCTTGCATGTACAAAGCCCTGGGTATGTATATATATACAGCATAAAAAACAAACAAATGAAAAACTTCACTTTTCCCCAATAGTGATTAGAGATTTCTATCTGTATAAGCATTTTATCTAACAAATAAAGGAACAGAGTTACAACTTTTATTCCCTAATTAATGGATTAAAAGCTGCAGACCTTATAGGAGGGACAAACAGGTCACAGAAGAGGCATATTCAGCAGGATCCCAGGGAGGGAAACACATAAGGTGGCACCACACTTTCAACAGTAGACTGTTGGTGGCACAGAGGTGGTGGGGAGCGCTGTGGGAGTGGACCCAAGCCCCGGTTAACAGGGCGCAACGCTCCCCACTGGCGGCTTACAGAGCTGGCAGCTCCCGCAGGGCCATGCAGCCCTCCGGGAGACTCCCCTCTAGACCATGAACCACCACAGCAGATGGTAGAAGCAGCACATCAGCCAACTGTCATTTGGCTCCCGTTTCCAGAACTGTAAAAACCTTGCCAACCTGTAGACAATTCATGATATCAAGGAATTGTCAATTTAGGTGTAAAAAAAAATTTATGAGATTATACATACTTTGAAAAGCCCTGAAATATTTACACAAATATTATGACATCTGAGATTTGCTTCTAATTTTTTAAGGGGTAGAAGCAGACGAGATTACAGGTGACACTAAATAGACCAGGAGTTGAAATTTTCCTTGTCGWCTTCTTCCTGGGTGTACTTGTGGGAGCATGCACATGTTCTTTTGTTTTAGGTGCTGGGAAGTGAACCTGGGAACTTAAGCATGCTAGGCAAGCACTCTACCACTGAGCCACGTCCTAGCCCATGTATATATTTAACTTCAGTGAATTTTTTAGATTTCTTCCTTTTCAAAAGTTTTTTTTTTTTAAACTCAATGCAAGGATAAAACAAAGACTAACTTCAATTTTTTTTTAAAAAGTATGGTACCTTTATTTGACAGTACTGAAATATATTTTATTTAAAAATCTACTAGTCCCAGGCGTGCTGTGCCAGGAGTTCTGAATCTTACTCTTCTTTTAAATAATAAAATTAGTGCATGCTCGCATTTCTCTCTCACACACACACCACCTACTAGTAAGTAGCAGGCTGCTTTTGCTTTAGATGTAGGGGACCCATTTGCTCTTCGACCCCATGTTGTTTGAAGTCCCTGCCCTATTGGAAGGGAATGCCTGCTGGAAGAGAGCCCACTGCTCACAGGCATCTGGCTCCTGCGCACCGCAGCTTTCCACTTCTTACCTTAGCTCAGCTCTGAAACGCAGTCTGTCAGTACACCAGGCTGACCTGCGTTGGAGGCATTTTTAAGTTCATCACACAGTATGTCACAGTGCAAGTGCAATGCAGCTAACTGCTGGGTTCTTTTTTCCTAGAAAAGGCACAATCTGTCTTACACAGGACATCTGCCAGATGGTGGATTCTGGGAGATGTTGGAACCTCTCGGGCTCGCAGTGTCGTCTTAAAAGTGATGCTCCAGATCGAGAAGCATCAAATGACTGGGCTGGAAATTTTTTCAGGACAAGTCCACAGTGAACCCACATCCTGTGACTCAACAGCTCTCTCTCCTCTGTAATGCATCCCTGCTGCAGTGCTGGTTGTGGTGTCGTTCTTTGGTGTGGCTGGGCACCCTAGGAAAATGACCTGCCACTGAGCGACATCTCAGCCTGCAGTGCTTTTTCAAGAGCGGGATGAACATGCTGGTGCACACCTGTAATCCCAGTGACTRTGGAGGCTGAGGAGTATGATCACAAGTTCTAGGACAGCTGGGCAACTCAGGGAGACCCTGTCTCAACACAAAACTTAAAAGAGGCTGGGGGTGTATGTGCTGGGCTCAATTGGTGAAAGTACGTTATCTCTGCTTTTTCCTCTCCTGTATTTACTCTTTACCATAGAAACAGGAGAACCAAAATACACCTGCCCTGAAGGAACTGGCGCCAAAGACTCGGTGGCCATAGTCCCACTGCACCAAAATGAGGGCAGAATCCTGAGGAGGGCTCCTTCTCCCGCTAAACTTTATTCCCTCTTCGTTGCCATTCTTATTGTGAACTTTGCTTATGATTCTTTCAATTATCATTCTTCTTGGAGCAGTCCACGATGATGGGGGAAAAGACCCCAGAAAGTCATGTTACCAACATCCCTGAGGGCAGTGACCTCAGAGATTTCTGCTTTTCTTAAGCTCCTGCTGTGTTCTCACCCGTGTTGACCATTTTGAGAAGACAGATTAAGAAAAGGAAGACAAGCCAGGCATGGAGGTGCATGCCTGTAACACCAGCTCTCTGGAGGCTGAGGTGGAGGGCCACAAGTTAAGGCCAGCCTGGGCAACTCGAGGAGACCCCCCTCAATATGAAACTTGAAAGGCGCTGAGGATGTGGCTCAGTGGTAATCACCTCTGGGTTCAACCGCAAAGGAACAAACTAACAAAAAACAAAGGCCAACTTTCTGTCTACTAAGTTCTGTCCACCAAGGAGGCAAGGGAGGACCTGTGGAGAGGCTCTGAGACCACGGAGTCAAATGGCCGACTCTGCCACTCCACAGCTGTGTGACATTGAGCAAGCTGTATAACCTCTCTTGCTTTTAGCTTCATCTGTCAGATGAGTAAGAATGGGTATTGTCTTGAGATAATCCTTAATAATCCATGGAATGTGTTTATCTGCATACTTAAGCAATTTCTCTGACCATGGTTTCTAGTCTCCCATACTTTTCCCCAAGTRGTCTTCTGTTTTGTCTCCGAAATATGCCCTTTAATAACTCGTGGATCATGGACATCTCAGGATGTCTTTAGTTTGCTCCCAATCTTATGGTTTAGCTGGGCATAAAGTTCCAAGTTGATACTGATCTTCCTCAGCACTTTGAAGGTTATTATCCACTGCCTTCTGGACTTCACAGCTGCTAGTGAGAGTCTGCTGTTGGTGTAACAGTCACCACTTTTCCCCACTGATACGAAACCCACTTCTATGGAGACTGAGTGTGTCAGTGTTTGGACAGGGTTATCACTTTAGGCAGGACTGGGAAAAGGACCATGGCATAGGCACTCGTCCCCCTAACGAAGAAGCAGGATAAGCAGTGAAGGTCACTGTGACTAAAAGGAAACTGAAGATCAGCCATGTGTGACCACAACCATGGCTGCAGGGAAGACGGAGATGCCCTCACATGAAGGTAGACRTGAAGTGGACGCAGGGAGGTACGGAGGACCTCGCTTTTCAGCTCTCAAGAGTCACACTTTCCATTTCTGCTTTCCAATTCCTACCCCAACAGCTCTCCAGGTAGATTACCGGAGGTTAAGGGAGGTAAAACAGCATATGAAAACACACTTGAACTCTTCTTGGTTTCAGGATGCGCAAGAACAAAACGCACCATCTTTGCTTATAGATGCGAGAGCTAAAAATCTGGCCTCTTTATTGATCATGACAGTTTTGGCTTTACAAAACACAAGACTTAGTCTCCATGCTCTGGAGAGCCAGCCGTCGTGGAACACGGCACTCCCACAGGAAATGCTCATGAAAATGGAAACAGAAAGATGACATTTACTTTTAATTACAGAAAAAACACCTGAACTTAACTAGTTAATTCACTTATTTAAAAACAAAAACAAAAAGCTCTCTGTGAGTAGAAGCACTGTCCTCTCACTGATGCCCCTCTCCTGCTATCACAGCAGAAAGCCAAGAGGAGGTCAGGCTAAAGGTGGCCCCAGTACCAAGGCCACCATCGCTCATGCTGCAAAACAGTTGCCAGTCTGATCTGAGAGTGTAAAAGAATGCCAAGAAGTCAAGGTCCTGCTGGAGATCAAGAGAACTTCCCAGAAGGAGGTGGAGGGCCAAGAAATCCACCCGCCTGCTTGGTGGCAGCGCGTGACGGGGCAAGGCCGAGAATCTTCTGGATGTTCTGTGAAGAAAACACAGTGGGAATGGGTTTACTTTGGTGGTACAGAAGTGCCCCATGTAGACCTCAGGTAGACAGGATTCATACCAGCTGAAGGGCTGGCTGTTAAGACCTTTGAAAAGATGACCAGTTTTTTTTTTTTTTTAGTTGTACATGACACAATACCTTTATTTTATTATTTATTTTTATGTGGTGCTAAGGATCAAACCCAGTGCCTCACACATGCTAGATAAGCGCTCTACCACTGAGCCACAACCCAGCGCAACACTGTTATTTTTAAAACACCATGGAACAGCAAAGACCTCTTTACCTGATGAACCTTGGTCTCCCAACCACAGCAGCTGCTGTTTCAAGTGGAGAATCTTAAAAAGAGATGATCTTTTTTTGTTTGCAGCCTTAAAGCACATGCCAGCAAGTGCTCCATTACTGAGCGACACCCCCAGCCTCCAGATCATCTTTTAATTTGAACATGAGGCATCTAAAGCGCTTAAGTAAGTCATTTTTTGTCACAAGGCCTTTTCTGTGAGCATGGGAGTTCTGGCTAGATGTAGTCATTATTGCACTGTCTACAATTTTCAGTTTCAATTTGTTTAAACTGGTGAAAGAACTTCAGAGATTGGAAGAGCAATCTGGAGTCCAGAATCTTCATAGATTTTTAATACTCCCTGCCCTCTTTCTTTATCTCACCTATATCTAATGCAAAATATATATATTTAGAAACTCACCTTTATTCAATTTTTCAAAATTTATTTTAGCTCCCATTAAAYAATTTTTTACTCTGATTTCACTGAATAATATAACATTTAATTATATTACATAAATACAATAATAAGTAAAATCAGCATAAACCGGTYGTGGGTAAACAAAGTGGACTTTTGAAAGGTGATGACTCAACAGGTAAAGGGCGTAGGTGTACTGAAGAGCACTGGTGAGCAGACCCTGCTTCAAAGAGGGAACGGACAGGGTGTACGAATGTGCAGAGGTGAAGAAGAGGCCAGCTGCTGAAAGTTCATAGGCATTCTAGAAAAAGACTGGGATTCATCCAATTATTCCCACTCAGTGCCTTCAGTTCACATGGAGAAAATTGAAGGTTGACAAGGTGTGACAGCTGGCCACAATGACAAAGCTAAATTCTAAGGAGAGTAAGTTGGAACCCGGGTGCTTTGGTTCTTGCCCTCTCTTGCTTGGTGCTGTGTAAATTAAGTCCTGGCCTTCACAACAAACGCCACCTACGGCACGGAGTCTGCATGCCCTGAACCACTCATTCACCTGTCATAGCCCGCAATGGACACAGGATACCAGAGAGCTCCAGATTGACATAAGCAGTCACAGCCCCCACTGGACACAGGGCACTGAGAACTAAGCTGCTCTGGAAGGACACACTCCTTCAATTGGTTGTTAGGATCAATGACGACCTTACAGGTTGTGTAGCAGAGTAAAGTGTGTGTATTTATACTGTCAGAATATAATGAAATATTTTAATATAAAAATCACAGCTTTAAGAACTTATTTGAATTATATTTACCATAAAATATTTCAATACAGGTATTTCACAATATAATGGCTCATATTAGAGGAGAAATTTGAAAACAGGGTAAGAAGATAAATCCATCATTAGTAAATCAGACTACAAGCCACAGAATAGTCTGAATTTGTACTACCTTTACATAATAAAAATATTTCCTTCATGCCTATCTCTAAAGAGCTCACTGAACGAAGAAGCAAGAAAAGCAAATAATCCAGCTACCAGGAGGGTGAGGCAGGAGGATTAAAAAAAAGTTAAAGGCCATGTGGGTAGCTGAGCATGACTGTCTAAAAATAAAATTTTAAAAATGGCTAGGGGTGTGGAGAGCCATTGAGTTCAATGTGCAGTACTGCAAATTTWAAAAAAAAWWWTTTTGAAGTAAGACATTACAGAATATTTGATGATAAACACATACAGTCTAGACAAAATATACAAGGGAGCCCTGCTCAGTTATTCTGCAGACAAAATATACAAAGGAGCCTTGCTCAGTTATTCTGCAGACAAAAGGGTCAATTAAATGAGTCCTTAACATTTCAGAGATGAAAAGTCAGCTCAAAAATCTCTGATACCCATAAAGCACAGGTTTCTATGATTTAAAGTCAGCAACTTAAAGGAAAATAAATAAAAAACACTTTGGAGAAACAAGACACTGATTCAGATCATATAATGATTTGAGTTGAGCCACTGCTCCAGATGGGGACAGCTTGGGCAGCTGCAGGGACAAGTGTGAGGACAGACCCTAGCACTCAGAGAAGGGCTGGCGGGACCCTGGCAGCCACATGCTTCTTCCTTGGCGCTCCTGTCACAGGATCCTGCAGAACTGTCATTTAGCTGCACCACAGTTCCATTATTCAGTATTTGCATTTAGATACAAATATTATACACTTACTGCATGCAACCTTATCTGTAGTCAGATTCTAAATAAAGTGTTTACATTCCTATAGACTTAATAAATGAAACCAAGGTCTTTTAGCCATTTTTCCTTAGGTAAGTTTTCTCCTGCCTCCAGGTCAGTGAAATCTCTTCCTCTAAAGCATCTGCAGGAACTAACTGACCTGGCAGGACGCCTAGCGGGCAGGAGCTCTCCACAGTGGTAGTAACAGCCTACACTTCCACGCATCTTTAAGTGTCTCAACTTCTAAGGCTGAGGTCACAGTTCTGGGTACCCCTGCCTTTGAGGTGAAAAGCTGAGGCAGTCAGAGGTTACAAGTCAGGAAGGCGCTGACACAGAACTTGGAGCAGAGTCTACCTCTATTAAACCACCCCTATAACAGATTCTTATCCTAGCAGCAGCTCTGTGGAAAAAAAAAAAATCACAATTATTAAGACTATGCATGAGCACAGAAAAACACCAATATCACTGAGTGAACAAATGTTTGTGCCCCTTCTTCTTATATGTATATCCATATAAAAAAGAAATGCTATGTCATAACCATGAAAAAAAAAAATGCATGTAAGTCAAAACTTCCAGAATGTTCAACATCAAGAATAAATCCTGGCCAGGAGCAGAGGCACACGCCCATAATTCCAGTAGCTTAGGAGGCTGAAGCAGGAGAATTGCAAGTTCAAAGCCAGCCTCAGCAACTCAGCAAGGCCCTAGGCAACACAGCAAAACCCTGTCTCAAAATAGAAACTATATAGGGCTGGGGATGTGGCTCAGTGGTATAGCGACCTTGGGATAAAGGTAAGTTTTCTCCTGCCTCCAGGTCAGTGAATACCAAAATAATACCCAATACTACTACTACTACTACAAATACTACTACTACTACTACTAMTAMTAATAATAATAAGCCCTGATGTAAACTATGGATTTGGGGTTAAAAAGACGTGCCACTCTGCTGGGGATACTAACAGTAGAAGAGGCAGGGCATTTGTAGACAACAAGAAATCTCTTCTGTACCTTCTGCTGAATTTATATGAACCCAAAACTACCCTTAAAAATAATTATATAAAATGCATATAAAGAGTACTCAAATATACAAATAGTAGTTGCATTAAACAAAAATATTTCTGGGCCGCTACCTCAAAGTGAAGGTCACAGCGCGAAGATGAAGCAGTAACAGTAAGGGCCCACAGTGACTGAGCATGACACTGTACCAGGCATTGTCCTAGCATGTACATCCTCTGACAACTCACTGGAGTACTTTATTGACCCCTTCCCCAGGTCAGATGGGCAGTGTGACGACATAACAAGATTTAGAGGGAGGCACATCACACATGATGGCGTGAACACCCAAACTTGGGTTTATGAACCAAAAAGGATGGTTGTTATAACCTCTGCATGCAATAAGGACAAAAAGACATCAACCGCCAGGACTCACCGAGCAGCACACTGTGACCTGCTTTCCTACAATCCCTCAGGTATCCTTGAGACCAATTTTTCAGGCCTTTCTAAAGAGCAAGGTTTAGTTTAGAAGCACACATTTTGTAGCCAGGCATGTCGGTGCATGCCTGTAACCCCAGAAACTCAAGAGGAAGACCAGAGGATCACAAATTCAAGACCATCCTGGGCAACTTTGCAAAGCCCTTCTCAAAAAAGCAAAGAGTAGGGCAGGGGCAGTGGCTCAGTGGTAGAGTACTTGCCTAGCATGTGTAAGGCACTGGGTTCAATTCTCAGCATCACATATAAATACATAAAATAAAAAGGGTGAGTGTGAGTGTGAAGTGCCCTAAACCTCAGCACACAAAAAAGGGGGGGGGCGGTTAAAAGACCTGAGTTTTAATATATAATGAAGATAACATGGGAAAAAATACAAATGCAAAATATAGTAAGATATCATCAGACTTTGGAAAAAACACAAAACAATCATTGTGAATGCCTGCCCAGTCCTGCACAATAGGGTAACAAAAGGGAAAAAAAAAGATGAAACATTTTCCCAAAATCATGTCTTCCACTGGCAGGAAACTGAGAGAAGTAATACCACTACAGGATGTACGTTCCTCTCTCTGCAAAGGGCAAGAACTGGAATCAAGGAAAGGTAACGCACTGCTGGCATATTTCAGGAAGACTCCGATTACTGACAATAAGCACATTCTGCTCAATTCCACTCTTCATCATTTGGCTAAAATCACAGTGATGGCAACCCTTGGTTCACTGTCAGTAATTCCAGCACCTCGCAACCGGCCCTCACCTCCAATCTATCACGACATCTCATTAACCACCATAATCTAACCTTTACTGGATTAGCAAAGCCTGGTACAAAATGCAATCACTTCAAATACCCCTTCCAATATTCCCAGGGCTCTTACGATACATGTGAATAGATCACTTGGGAGAACGATGTAAAGATCAAGAACTGAAAAAGCAGACTTATAGGGGCACGACAAATAATAATGAACAGGAGTCAAAAAACTTGGGTTCCAGTACTGACAAACTATTCAGAGGCTTAGTAATATTTTTTACTCTATTACCCTAAAAAAAAGTAGACTGACTACTTCAATAGCTTTCAGACCCTTTAAGCCACAGAAAGACTTCATCTTTAAATAAAACCCAATCCAATACAGAAAACAAAATAAAGTTGGGGACTTGAAGGCCTCAGATGGGGCCTTTCTTTGGCCTTTCCCTCCCTACCACCAAGCACCTTCAAGGAGCCACTACATTCTAGAATGTGTCTAATGACATCACAAATCATAGTACAGACTTCAACAAACATCTTGCAAAGTGGAAATGAAAATTCTGAATGAAGTGGGCTGGGGTTGTGGCTCAGCAGTAGAGCACTCACCTCACACCCTGGGTTTGATCCTCAGCACCACATAAAAATAAATAAGTGAAATAAAGTATTGTGTCCAACTACAACTAAAAAATAAATATTAAAAAAAAAAAAAAAACCTCTGAATGAAGGACAAGTGCATCAAATCTGCTATGGAGCGACACCACTTCCTTTATAATTTATTTTTCCTTTTATACCAGGGATTGAACCAAGGGGTTCACATCCTAGCCACACCTGAGCCCTTTTTATTTTGAGACAACATCTCACTAACTTGCTGAGATTGGCTTTAAATTTGTGATCCTCCTGTCTCAGTTCCCCAGTCCTGGGATTACAGTCGAACCCTCACCAGGCTCCTCTGAAATGCTGAATATTTTCTGTTCTAACAGAAAAAAGSGCCCCTTAATAATGAAGGTCTTTTTTGCTGGGGTCAGGATAATCTTTCTCTCCTATCTCCTCCCTCCGTTTCCCATCTTTCCAATGAAAATGCCCCCAGATCTCTTGTTTAAGCCCTTTCTTTGATCAGTCAAGAAGAATGTTCTGAAATTTAGGTTAGTGCAAGAAAATGAGAGGTTTGCCTTCATTTTTTTAAAAAAAAGCTCATAATGGAGGCAGGACTCAGGTGGTACCTCATTGCATGTCTAAAAGAATGAAAGTCCCTTAACTAGTTTAAAGAAGYAAAGGGCAGGGTTAGGGTAACCACAGCAACTAAAAATTATGGGGACGAGCCTTGGAAAACTATTGGGCCTTTGATAAGGGGAATCCAAATTTCCCATATAAACTGCTCAAATCTCTGCCTGACTTGAAGTATATATATGTGTCACAACTCCCAGCAGCCCAGCTGTCTAATACGACTAACTTAAAGATCACCGCTGTCCCCTACCACACAGGAGACAATAGTGCCTAAATGTCTGCCTCCCCACAATTCAGAGGTATTAGACAGTGAGACCCTAGGGGTGGCTCTGCAGGAGGGCTCCGCCTCACCCTGGGAGGAGGGCCTGGTAAGAGGCCCCAGGAGCTGCCTCATCCCTTCCACTGTGCAGGATGCAGCGAGGAGGCTGCGCCAGACACTGAAGCTGCCACTGCCTTGATCTTGAATTCTCACATTCCAAAACAAAGTACTAGTGTGTGCGAGCAATCTGGTTTATAGTGTTTTGTTGTAACAGCCAGAAAGGACAGAGATAAATAAGGACTAAGTTAACTGCCTGCTCAAACAAAAAATGACACTCTTATAAAAAATAAAGTAATCCAGAATCTCTGTTACCACCACACCCCACTGTCCAAGGCACAATCCAAAACCATTAGACACATCAAGAAACAGGAAAACACGACTTACACTGAAAATAGGCAACAGACAGAGTCCAAATTTCAAATGTTGAAATTAGCAGACTACATTTTAAAATCAGATAAATAACTATGCCTAAGCCATGCATGAGCGACCCAGAGACTCTGGAGGCTGAGGCAAGAAGGTCACAAGTTCAAGGCCAGCTTCAGCAACTTAGCAAAACCCTRTTTCAATTTTAAAAAATAGAGGGGAAAAAAAAGGCTGAGAATGTGGCTCAGTGGCTTAGTGCTCCTGGCTGGATTCAGTCCCCAGTGCCAAAAAAAGGAAAGACGCTGTCATGTGTGTGAGTATGAACCTGTAACGACAAACCTACTGCTATGTACAACTATAATGTACCAGTAAAAAACGAGGGAAAAATAATACAGACAAGGTACTTTCAGATAAATGAAGATTAGTAGAATGTGTCACCAACAGACCTGCACTACAAGAAACGCAAAACAGCTGGACATGGTGGCACATATCTGTCATCACAGCAGCTCTGAAGGCTGAGGCAGGAGGATCACGAGTTCAAACCCAGCCTCAGTAATTTAGTGAGGCTTTAGGCAACTCAGTGAGACTCTGTCTCTAAATAAAACACAAAAATGGGTTGGGGCTGTGTAGCTCAGTGGTACAGCGCTTGCCTAGCACATGTGAGGCACTGGGTTGAATCCTTAGCACCACATAAAAGTAGACAAATAAAATAAAGGCATGCTATCCAGATACAACTACAAAACAAAACAAAATTAAAAAACAGGAAATCAATGTTGTGCTGTGAGGCAGATTAAAGCCACCTTCCTCTTCTGTTCACCTGTGGCTGTACCCACTCAGAGGACTCAGAGCCTGCCACCCCACACACCTCATGCCTTTGTGTGTTCTCTCACACTGCAGCCTTTGCCAAGAATGCRAATAAGACTGAAAAGGCCCACCCAGCCTTAAGGATACACCTCGAGTGGTCCTCTTGCAGAGACTCTTGGTTCCAGAGGATTTGTCTCTGTGGTCATGATGCTCCCGCAATGTTTTCAAATCTTGCAGTATTTTGTGTGTGCATGCATGTATACACATACACACACACACACACGCCAACCACTCTGATATAAATTCTGGGTCTGTTTCCCCACCTAGGATGTGAGTCCACAGGGTACAGACAATTGCTATTTACCCATCTATTTTCAGCATCAGCAATTCCTGCCATAGARTAAAGGCTAGAATCATCTTCAGCAATGACAGGGATCAGTTCTCCCTGCCCGGAACCAACTCACAAGGAGATCGGGTTACAGTGATGCCTGAATCATCTGCTCTTCTGAATGACTTGTCTCTAAAGTGGTTAAAGTTTACCTGCAAATGAAAAGAACCTGCTTGTAGATGAATATCCTGGTTCTATGGCCTGAGTGTGTCTCCCAAAGTTCAAGTTGGAAACTTGATCCCAATAAAATAGTGTGAGGTGGAGCCTGATGAGAAGTGACTGGGCTGTGAGGGTGGGTCACGGGGATCATTGCCAGTGTCAAGGGAGTACCTCTGGTATTACAGGGACAGGGGGAGCTGGCCCCTTTCTCTTTCCCCACTGCAAGAATAGGGAATGGAAACCATGCTCGGTGTGGTAACTACCACTCCTTCCTAAGGATCGGTGATCCAGAGTTATAGCTTCAGGATGAGCAGCCGAAAGACCTCAGCACCAGCAGATAAGCATTTCCAGTAGTCTATAGGTGGAAGCTAACCACGGTGTGAGGGTGACAAAGGACACACGTGGAACATGGCTATGACCACTCACTTGTCGGATTGACATGGTGCACAGGATGTACAGGAAGATGAAGGAGCAGTCTGTGGTGTCATCTCCCAGCAGGTTCCGATGAGACAGCCCTTGGATGTAAGAAAGAGGGGTGAAGGGGAGCTTTGCCACCACTCTACCATCAAATCTGGAAAGGAAAACAAAGAATTGTTATTTTTGGAAGACTAACAAGCTTTTTACTTTCAGAGAAGACTTTGGGACAGAAATAGAACTTTAAATCTCTTGATCTCTGAAAAAGAAAGGTGATGTGCTTAAGAGAGACAGGAGCTTAAAGTACAGCAATATATAAAGAAGAGCCTAAATGAATCTCATCAATCTCCTATACCAGTGTTTTTCAATCTTTTGATACGTGGATTAATAATTTATGTATTCACGAACTACTGAGGATCCTAAAAAGCTTTTGTTTGTGAAAGTTATAGCAATAAATGTTCAATACATTAGAAACAAAGAAATGTTAGCTGGGTGTAGTAGTGTAAGCCTGTAATTCCAGCAAATCAGGCAGCTGAGGCAGGAGGGTCCCAAGCCTGGGCAACTTTGCAAGACTGTGTCTCAATGTAAGAATTCAATGCGCTTACAGCTGAGTGGTGCAGTGCTTGCCTAGCATGTGCAAGGTCCTTAATTTCATCCCCAGTACTACAAAAAAAAGAAAGAAAAAAAAGAAAAAAGAAATACACTTAGTATTTGGATAGTCTCCACATGGGGGAAAAAGGAAGGAAGTAATCCATCTTTTTCTTTGGTGGGGGAAAAAAAATTTAAATTTAAATCAAGTACTAAAAGACTTGTACAATGTACTCCAAAGAACATAAAATAGACAAAAGTGGGAATCTTACATGTGTTTAATTGTCCACTTACTTACTGCACTTCCAGCTCCCTCACTCTGTGTATTAAACTGCAAGGCTCAAGCGTAAACCTATTAACCTCACAAAAGCAAAACAAAAGTAGTAGTGCTTCCAGGAGGAGAGTCTCACTTCTTCACAAGAAGTCTGCAGTACAAACACCCCAACCTTGGACTGGGGCTGGTGGTAGAGTGCCTGCCTCCCATGTGTGAGGTACTGAGTTCGATCCTCAGCACCACATAAAAATAAATGTGTGGCACCCTCACCCTGCASAGGTGGACTACTAAGCAAGGTGACATACAGAAGACATCAATTCCTTTTGTCATTAACATACACACCTAACACATTCAGCTTCTATGGTCATTTTATTCTTTATTATATTCAACCTGAAATTGTAACTAAGATGTTTTATGTCCTTGAAGTTATTCAACTATGTGAACATCTACTCTATAGGACAACAAACATGAAAATAAATTCCAAAAATTCTTACTTTTTTTTGGGGGTGGGCAGTTACTGGGGAATTACCTCAGGGGCACTCAACCACTGAGCCACATCCCCAGCCCTATTTTATATTTTATTTAGAGACAGGGTCTCACTGAGTTGCTTAGCACCTTGCTGTTGCTGGGGCTGGCTTTGAACTCATGATCCTCCTGTCTCAGCCTCCCAAACCAGTGGGATCACAGGGGTGTACCAGCACACCCGGCAAATTCTTACTTTTAATGCATTAAGTTTTCTAGGGGATTAGATTCATATTGAAGAAAGTGGTACGTAGCCTAATAAAGAAGACAGCAAGGGTGAGAAACAAGAATGATAGACAGGTAGATGATTTCCTTCCCCACTCTGAATTTGGAGACAGGGCCTCTATAGGGAGACACATTTTGTCTTAGTAAAAGTAATAACTTCCAAACCCTAAAACTACTCAATACAAGTATGAGCTATCTCAGAAAACATCAAGCTTCTCACTGGAAAGGAAATCTGGACTGAAGGATTTCTGAACTGGGGAGAAGGTATGTGTTCGACAATCTAAAGTTCTACGATGTCAGCTTTATGGAAATGACTCAGGAGGAGAAGTCAAACGGAAATAAAAGCCAATCCAGCACCTCTGCCGCCTCCCAGCAACTGGTTCTTCTTGTACAACCTGGGGCTTTTTTCTAAAGAATCTGCCAGCTATCAACAAATTTTAAGACTAAAAAGGGATACTAAGAGATTACATATCTAATCCACAACAAGGAGATAACTGAGAGTTTAAAATCAGAGAAATTGGTATGGAGCTGTAGCTCAGGAGTAGTGAGGCACTGGGTTCAATACTCAGCACAACATAGAAATAAAGTTATTGTGTCCATCTACAACTAAAAAATATTTTTAATAAACCAGAGAAATTATATTAAGGTTTAAATGACTTGTTCTATACAATAAAAAATGCATAATTTTAATTTCATATGCTACTTTATAAAAATGGAGACAGTCTTCTAAATTCCAGGTGCTGATAATCCAAGAAACAATACTATATTTTTCTAATAATGCACAGTGCAGAAAGTTCAGAACAAAAACATGAAAACAGAATTAAAATATATAGTTAAACACTGAGATTGTATAAACCTTCTTTGGAATTGAAATATAAAACAAGAAAATAAAAGGCTATTATTTCCCAGGGCTCTGAACAAGAAAGTTAACAAAAAGAAAATAGTGTAACAACAAGAATCCAGGAGTGGTGGCACATGCCCATAATCCCAGTGGCTCAGGAGGCTGAGGCAGGAGGATTGTGAGTTCAAAGCCAGCCTCAGCAACTCAGCAAGGTCCTAAGTAATTCAGCGAGACCCTCTCTCTGAATAAAATATAAAAAGGGGCTGGGGATGTGGCTCAGTGGTTAAGAACCCCTGGGTTCAATCTATGATAACAAAAAAACTAAATCAAAACCAAAACAAAACAAAAAAAACCAACAACAAATAACCTTCATGCTTGCCAACAGTCATCTTTTTCAAAAGGCCTGATAACTCCATTTGATTCTTTGACTTCTATATCTTGGAAAACCTGTACCACAAAATTTAAAGCATTTAACATTTTATCAAGTACAATTAACTGCACAAATAATTAGGCATTTGGTCTAAGGCCTAATACCTTAATCATAAAAATATTTGGTGAGTATTAATTATATGATTAAATCTGCTAAGAATCATACTTAAGGTCAGGCATGGTGGTTAATGCTTATAATCCCAGCAACTCAGGAGGCTGAGGAAGGAGATCACAAGCTGGAAACTAGCCTGGCAACCTATTCTCAAAATAAAAAAGGCTGGGGATGTAGCTCAGTCATACAGCATCCCTGAGTTCGATCCCTAGTACTTGAAATAATAAATAAATAAGACACTACTTAATCCCTAATCAAAATTGAGATGGCCAGTTGGGCACAGTGACACCAGCCTATAATTCCAGCAACTGAGGAGCCCAAGGAAGGAGGATCACAAATCCAAGGCCAGCCTGGGCAACTTGGCATGACTGTTTCTCAAATAAATAATAAAAAGGATTGGAGACATGGCTCAGTGGTAGAGCACTCATGGATTCAAATTCTAGCGTGTGTGTGTGTGTGTGCGCACGTGCGTGTACACACACACACACACACACACACACACACACACACACACACTGGTGTTCAAGGTCAGCCTCAGCAATTTAGCAAGACCCTAATTAAAATTAACATCGCAAGACCCTGTCATTTAATCTTCTGAAGATCCCTTCCAGCTCTAAAGGTATATAATTCTAATGATTAGTTAGTGCAAATTTTATGTTAAAACCATTTTGGACATATTCTCTAAATTCTATACCTAGATAAAACAACCACTTACTTTTTTCAACCACTTACATTTTTCATAACAACCCCAAAAATTAATATATTCATTTTTTCCTTACTCTGTCTTTTCCTCCTGTAAAGATTTTGATTCTGAGGGCAGGGGTCTCATCTTATATTCGATACCTCACATAGTGCCTATGACAATGTGCACCCTACAGACAGGAAGAGGAAGATATGCTTGGGGAGGAGGCAAGGGAGAGGGACAGAAAAGAAGCAAGGGAAGAAAAATTAGAGGAAGAGAAGGAAAAGAAAGTAAGGGAAATTCTAAAGCACAGGGTACAGTTCAGGTATGATTTGAAAAAGAGCTGGGCACAGCGCTGCACACCTGTAACCCCATTACTTGGGAGGTTGAGGCTGGATAAGTTCAAGGCCCACTTGGGCAACTCAGGGAGACCCCATCTTGATTTTTTTTTTTTTTTTTGTGGTGCTAGAGATTGAAGCAGGGCCTTGTGCAAGGAAAGCACTCTACCAACTGAGCTATATCCCTAGCCCAAAATAAAATTCTTAAAAAAAAAAAAAGGGTCGGGGGGCTGGGGTTGTGGTTCAGTGGTAGAGGATGTGTGAGGCCCTGGGTTTGATCCTCAGCACCACATAAAAATAAATAAATGTATTGTGTCCATCTACTACTAAAAACAAATTTAAAAAACTACTAAAAACACATTTTAAAAAAGGTCAGGGATGTAAGCCCAGAGACAGAACATTCCTGAATAAAATCCCCAATACCACCAAGGGTGGTTAAAGAGAGAGACAGAGAGAGAGAGAGAGAGAGAGAGAGAGAGAGAGAGAAGGAAAAAAAAGATGTTTTCCTAACTTCTGTCAAAAGCTGTTCAACAGTTACTCAGGTCTGCTATGTTTTATTTTAGGTAACAGTAACTGACCTCATGGTTAAACAGATTATAGTTGTTAAGATTCTACTTTAAGAGTCAAAACGTCTTCATGTGACTAACTTCAGTCTGCGATAGCATACTAACAGCCAATTTAAAAACAGACGGAACCTACTTGGGGCTTTTAGAGAACACATAATGCCCAAGTCTTTACCTTGTAAATAAAACATCTCAATGTTCAGAGGGTGAAAAGCTATTGTGTAATTGTATTCTATCAAAATTAAGTTCTCTTGATTCTGCTCTTGCTTTAGGTTAAATAAGCAAATGTTCTTCTTGGGCTGGGGTTGTGGCTCAGAGGTAAAGCACTCGCCTACATGAGTGAGGCCCTGGGTTCAATCCCTAGCACCACATGAAAATAAAGATATTGTGTCTACCTATACCTAAAAAATAAATATTAAAAAAAAGAGAGAGAGTATGTTCTTAGAAAATAAACACTAAAGTAGTTATGGGTAAAGGAACAAGAAGTGTACAACGTACTGTCAAATATGAAGAAAGAGTAACACTCTAAACATTAGTACATATAGAAAAGAGAAAAAGAAAACAGATGTGAGGCTGGGATTGTGGCTCAGCGGTGGAGCTGCTCGCCTAGCACAGGTGGGACCTGAGTTCGATCTTCAGCACCTCATAAAAAAAAAAAAAAACATAAAAGCATTGTGTTGGGTCCATCTACACATAAAAAATAAATATTAAAAATAATAATAATATAAAAAAAGTTCATGTATGACTAAAAAAAAAAGTGGCAAAATACTAATAACTATGAATTAGGGTAGGAGATACATTATTCCTGTGACTTAACAAGTATGAAATTATATCAAAATCAAACATTATCAAAAAGTTTATATCCATGTATATATATAAACAGAATAATAGTTACTAGGCAAAAATCATACAAAAGGATACTCACATGGAATTGAACATTCCCATCAGGGCAGTAAAACAAAAGCCAATTGCAAACATGGATTTCATTCGAACCTATAAAGAAACCAAATCATAACTTCATACTGAAGAAAACCACCGCTCAAGCATACCTCAAAGTTCAGGTTTCCTGTCATTTTTAAAAAGCTCTCCACAGCAAAGCAGTCTATTAACTAACCCACTTTCCACCCCAGTTCCATTCCTTTGCAACCTTGCCAAGTAATTCTGGCCATTAGCAATGTAAGTACTCATGCTGACTAGGCACTTGTAGGGCAAATTCCTAGGCATTCCTCAAGGCCTTCTTTCCACTCTTCTTGCCTAGAATGAAGACCATGATGTCCCAAGGCAAAGCAACCTTCAGACCATCAGGTGGCCTTTGGCCAAGGACCTGAGGATCTGAAAGCAGTGCTGAGATGTTCCTCTGGCCCAGGACTACCAACCTCCAGCCCACTCAGCAGAAAAGAGACCATCATGGGTTCTAGGCCACTGTTAGGCACTGTTATTTGCAACCCAATTCTTTCTTAATTACACAGTCCACAAATTATAAAGATATAAGATCATCAGACATTCTTTTGGAATTGTTAATATATTGCCCCCCACCCCCAGTACTGGGAACTGAACCCAGGACCTTACATGTCCTAGAGGCTAGTACTCTACCCCCAGCCCTTTATAACTTTTATTTTGATACAAGGTATCACTAAGTTGCCAAAGGTGGACCTCAACCTTGTGATCCTCCTCCCTCAAACTCCAGAGTAGCCAAGATTACAGGTATGCACCACCATACTCTGTAATATATTGGCATTTTGCATCTCATCTCTTACAGTTTCATTGGCTATGACGAATATGTAATAACTGTCATCAGGTAAGGAAAGCTACTTTTTAAAATATTCTCTTCTAACTTAAAAAATTTCTGGAAAATAAATAAGTACAGTAAAGGTATCTCTGTAAGAGAAAACTGGAGCACAGTTCAGATGTCCTATGCTAAGTATACAAGAGTTAAGTAGAAAAGTTAGGTCACATAATCAACCTATCCTTGTTTAAGGACAACACTATTAAACAAAATCTGCTGTCTAGAAATACTGAGTAAATGGGTAAAAAAATCACTTTCTTTGTACTTTATGGAATGTCTCACACTCAAAACAAAAAGGGCTTAAAAAATATAGTGGCGCACACCTATAATCCCAGCAACCAGGGAGGCAGAGGCCGGAGGATCACAAGTTTGAGGGAAGTCTCAGGAAATGAGTGAGAACCTATGAAACTTAGTGACCCAGTTTCAAAATAAAAAATTAAAAAAAGCTGAGGATGTGGCTCAGTGGTAAAGTGCCCCTGAGCTCAGTCCACAGTACCAAAAAACAAAATAATAAAACCATCAATAATATTCCAACTCCTACAGCAGAATTACAAAGCCACCACAAGATTTAACAATAACATAAGAAAAAGAAAATAAGCTAATTTCTTTTAAAGTATAAGAGGAAAACCGAAGAAACAAATTACAACCCTAAGACAGTCCTTAAAAGCTACCCAGGAACCATGTGATTCCTATCCATGGTCTCACAGGTGAGCCATTTCTGAGAAGTCAGAGCAATGCCATGGATGCAGATCATCCTGCTGCTAAGACGTGCAGTGTGGTTCGTCACCCTTACCATCGACAGATCTCTGTTGTTATTCTTCAGTTTCTCTTCTTGCCTCTCTGAAAAGAATTAACGTGATGTTAATACATACAGTGCTGAGTACAGAACAGCTGCTACATAACTTGTCACTGGTGATTATGGAAGCAGTCTCCTTCAGTATCATTGCTGCTGTCAGTAGAACAACAGAAGATTGAGATTTAAACAAAAATTGGGGGAATTGAAATTGAGCCAACTATTATATTCATTTATGAACACGTCAAAATTATAAGAATGATAATGTACTAATTAAAAATGTTTAAATAATATTTTTAATTTAAAAAAAATCTCCTCTGGCAATAAATGCACTGACTGTAAATTAATATACACTCTTAAACCACACCAGTGGGAACTGCCAATCAGTTAATCATAAGTGCACCGTAAGGACTGTTCTAATGTTAACTCCTCATCTCTTATATTTTTTCCCCCTTTCTAAATTTCTTTTAAAAAAGAGTGTATGTTCTAAGTGGGCATGGTGGTGCATGCCTATAATCCCAGGAGGCTGAGGCAGGAGAATTGGGAGTTCAAAGCCAGACTCAGCAACTGAGCAAGGCCCTAAGCAACTCAGCAAAACCCAGTCTCTAAATAAAATGGAAGACAGAATGAAGATACAATAAACGAAAAATATATACTTCACAGGGAGGTATTACACATGCAACATTTTATCTGAAAAACCTGTTGGTAGGAAAGGCTTAACATGCCTCAAAAAGCATAAAACAAAATTTAAAGAATACCACAGAACATGAAGTTGTAAAAACAAAGTTAATRTTAAAAATCCTACATACCATCGGTCTTCAGAAATCTACAAAATGCTCATTAAGGAAAAACAAATACAACCTAAAGGAATGTTCCCCACAGGGAAAAAATTTCAAGCACTCCTCAAGCTATAAACAATACTCTTATTAATGTCCCCACAGCCAGTAAGCTTTATAAACCTCCCTCCCCTCGATAACCAGAAACCGATGATACCTTTAACAGACTACTAGGAGAATGCCTAAATTCTTTCCATTTTACCTGTTCTCCCCTCCTAACTCATTTAACACATCTCACATTCTCTCTCTCCCTCAATACCTACACTCTCTTTTAACCAGGGATGCTCTACCACTCAGSTATATCCCCACCCCTTTTTATTTTGAGATGGGGTCTTATTAAGTTGCTGAGGTGGGCTTTGAACTTGCAATCTTCCTGCCTCAGGCTCTCAAGTCACCAGGATTACAGGTATTGCCACTGAGCCTGGCTTAAATAAATTTTTGTTATTTCATGTCCAATGATGTTTTTAATTACCAATATTATAAAAACAAACTACTATTCCTAAAAATGAATAATCTTTATGTTATAAATACACTGATGAAGACTATTATGTCAATATAATTACTATATAATACATGGTTTTTATGAGAACAATCCAAGTTCTAATAAACTATATGCTTAAAGATCTTCTTTTAAAAAAATGTTCCATTTTCCCTGCAAGAGCGTGTTTCCTCAGAGGAAAAACTTGTAGGAAAGTCACATTATTAAATAGCTATAAGTGTAACAATTTACTTTGAAATGATACTAAATTGTTTCTCAGCAGGAATTGGACATTTGAGCATAATGATTCATCTAATTATGAGAATAGTTTTGCAGTCATTCTACTCGAAATGCACAGCTTCTTGTTGACTGACTCCATGGCTCTGATTTAACTTAGCTGCTAGTTAATATTAGTTAACTARCATAAATTCTCTCAAAAAGTTGTCTCTTGTTCAATAAGTAAGGATGGTCTTAATCTCATATCATTCGCATCCTGGTGGGTTGCTGATGAACCCACAGATAGTGGACTTTGCTCCTAAGGCAAAAAGACAACTCAGTACTGGGAGCCCAAGGCATCCAAGATAGCTGCACTTCCAATCTCTTTCAGCTATTAGGGTGAAATAAATGTGTATCCAAAACCTTCTGTGCCTCCCTTTGAAAATCTAGGATTTAAAGATGCTGGGTGTTGGAGATAAACAGTGTTGTCATTTAGTGTTCACTTGTCCCATGTGAATTATTCTGGACCTATGTGACCTAGAAAGAACCCCAGGATGTAATACAGGCAACAAGTATTTTCCAAAGGAAAAACTATTCCTTTTGGGAAGAATTCTATGCACCTTCTTACCAATGAATTTTTGGAATAAAATCTCTACAAAATGTCAACATATTTCATGAAGAAAAAAATCTGGAAATACGCAGAAGATACATTTATATTCTAGAGTTATTTATTATCCAAAATGACAAAAGGGAAGATTAGCCAGGCATGGTGGTGCACGCCTGTAATCCCAGTAACTCTGGAGGATCACAAATTCAAAGCCAGCCTCAGCAAGACAGCAATGCCCTAGGGAACTTAGCAAGACCCTGTCTCAAAATAAAAAAGGGCTGAGAATGTTGCTCAGGGGATAAGCCCCCGTGGGATCATCCCCAGTACCAAGAAAGGAAAAAAAAAAAAAAACAAAAAGCAAAGTTTAAAATTGTAAAATGTTACATTTCTTGTATTCATTGGAATAAATTAGTAGCAATGACAGCACCCATTCTGACCACAAAATGAATTAACCTCCAATCAATCAAAATAGCATAGAGAAAAGCCTACAGAGAATATATAAATTCAGGGTTCAAAATATGTTAAAGTTAAGAAGCATCTTCCCATATTTCCGTGCCACTAAGGAAAAGATGCACACCTCACTCAGTCACGCTTGAGTGCCTGCCCTTCCTTTCTTAGCCCATTCTGAAGATAAGTCTCCAGCTATAGCTGCTGAAAAGTCAGCCGTAAGAAAATTCATAACCCATGCTGGTTAATTCTAGGTATCAACCTGACTGGATTGAGGGATACAGGTAGCTAACAAAGTCATTTATCTGGAGAGATCTGCGAAAGTTTTCCAGAAAAGATGGTTATTTGAATCAATGTACTRAATAAGGAAGATACATTCCACCTAATGCAGGTGGAGACCATTCATAGGGGCTGAGGGTCTGGACAGAACACAAAGGCAGAGGAAAGACAAATTCATTCTTTTCTGGAGTGGGGGATACCCATTTTCTCCTGCCTTTGGATATCACAACTCTAGTTCTCTGGCCTTTGGATGCTAGGATTTGCATCAGTGGCCCCCTGGGTTCTCAGACCTCTGGCCTCAGAACAAGAGTCACACCATCCGATTCCCTAGTTCTTAGGCCTTCGGACTTGCACTGAGTCACGCCACCTGCTTCCCTGGTTCTCCAGCTTGCAGATGGCCTACTGGAAGACCTACCAGAATCCATGATCATGTGACCTAATTCTTCCAATAAATTCCATCTCAATATCTGTACATATATACAACTGGTTCTTTCTGGAGAACCCCAATGCACAGTCCCTATCATGCCACCACTAACTCAAAAGGCAGTCCATCTATAAGCTCTCCTATAAACTGTGGCATAAATGACCAGTTGAGTCAGTTGAATACCTTTTTTAAGGCATTAAATCAGAAGACCTTGGGACAAAGACCTGTGAGAGCAGAAAAGAGTACTGGCTTTCAAACTTTCACTTGCTTAAATTTATATGTATGTAAATACACACACACGCACACCTTTTTAAAACAGTTTTTGAGGGAAAGAGGGTTATAATGGTGATGAACCAAAAGAAAGGAGTTCTTAGTAAAAACAAAGTGGACAGCAGAAATTCACTATTTCTGAGAAACAAGGTGTCATGGGTAAAGCTCTTTGATAATCATATTTTGGGTGTGTGAGGATGGGGTACTGGAATTGAACCACCCAGGGTGCTCTACCACTGAGCTACATCTCTAGCCATTTTTATTTTCTTTATTTTATTTTTTCAGTGCTAAGGATCAAATCCAGGGCCTTGCATACCATCAAAAACCTTTATATTTTCATCTAAAAATTAACTTTTTCCAATCCTTAAATTTTATTTAGATTAATACCTCACCTATTTTCTTTTTTTGTTGTCGACCAGCTGACTCTGTTATGGTTTCCTTCTTCTTTTCCACTGTGAACACCAGAGAAAAACAGTAAAAACTAATTATGCATTATATTTAAAAAACAAAGGCAGCTTTCTCACCACTGAGTCAATCAAAGAAGCTTATAAAAAAGTCAGACTTTGATCATGGTCATTTTTAAGTTAACCAGCCTGTTCCTGAAACTGCTAACAGAGAACACAGAAAGGACATCCTAAGAATAAAACAATAGCTGGCTGGGGTTGTAACTTAGTAGTAGAGCTAATAATAATAATAACAATAATAATAATAATAAGTACCAATAATCAAATACTGATAAAATATTATATTAAGACTTAGCCAGGCATGGTGGCACACATCCATAATCTGATAACTCTGAAGAAAGCTAATGTAGGAGGATTGCAAGCTCTAGTCCAGCCTCAGCAACTTAGCAAGACCCTGCCTCAAAATATATAAAAATAAAAAGGCTGAGGATGTTGCTCTGTGGTAGAGGATATCAGGGTTCAATCCCCAGTAGCACAAATAACTAAGGGGCACTCCAGCACTGAACACCAGCCCTATTTTTTTTTTTTTTAATTTTGAGAAAGGCTCCCCCAGTTTCCCAGACTGGCCGTGAACATGCAATCCTCCTGCCCTCAACCTCCTAAGTAGCTGGGATTACAGAAGCATGCCATCACACCCAGCTGGTCATTTCCATTTTGACTGTCTTTTGTCTTTATGTGTGTGCTATTGGGGACTGAACCCAGAAGTGTTCCACCACTGAGCTACAGCCTCTTTTTTTTTTTGAGACAAGGTATCACTAAATTGCGCAGGCTAGCCTAGAAATGAGATCCTCCTCCTTCAATTGCCCTCCCCAAGGCATTGGGATTGAAACCAGAGGAGGCCCTCAGCAACGGAATCACACCTCCAGGGCAGGATGGGGAGGAGTATGTGCTGAGTTTGGTCTCTAATTCTTTTTGGGTTTTTTTTGTGGGGAGGGGTGGGATTGAACTCAAAGGAACTGCACCACTGAGCCATATCCCCAGCCCTATGATTATTATTATTATTTTTTTGTATTTTATTTAGAGATAGGGTCTCACTGAATTGCTTAGTGGCTCCCTCTTGGTAGCTTTGAACTGGCGTGCACCACCACACCTGGCCTGGTCTCTACTTCTTTTGGTTGCTCTGTCTGAGTATATCATTAGCTTTCTGAGACTTAATCTCCTTTCTTATCATRTTGATCAAATAAGCAAAGGTATCTTTTTTTTTTTTCCCCTACAGTGCTAGGGATCAGACTCAGCACTTGAGCATGTGTAGGCCACGAAAACACTGTCCCATTGAGTAACACTGCCAGCTGCTCAAATGAAATAAGAAAAACATATCGAAGGCCAAATTGTGCCTATAAGAAACCATTCTCATCACATTCTCAGCTGTGTCATGCTGAATTCCTGTTTGATTTCAGAGACAACAAATTTCAATCTCTTCCTCAAACACTTCTTCAACCTTCTCACCCACCTGAAAACTTGGCTCCACACTAGTCACCATGGCCTGCTATTCTTCAAACATACCTAACACAATAAAATCCCATATTTCTTTACGTGGAATTTCCTTCCCCCTCCTCATTCTCTATCCACGAGGGCCTGCAAGGTCATCTGCAGCAGGGGCCTTTCGCAGTGCCCACAGAACTGGGCCCCTTCCCTAGCTCTCACTACCCACGTCCCCTGGTGCATGCTCACAAACGGACTTCCACTCAAGCCGCGTTATCTCCGTGTCCTACGAAGTCGTCGCTGGGCCGAGGCCCCACCTCCGGGGAACGTGGCTCCCGAACTCCCGCCCGCCGGCCCTGCGCACTCACGTTTTTTGCTCTGTTTCTCCACCTCGGCCTTCAGCCTCTTGTACTTGTCGGTCCGGTACACCAGGACCCAGGTGATGCCTGAAAGTCAAAAGCGACACCTGACCCACGAGCCACCCGAGGCCCCGGCGCCTGCCCGGGCGGGCCCCCACGCCCTGCGCCTCACCCCCGCCTGAGTGACGRCTCCCAAACCCGAGCCCAGGGCCGCGGGCCCATCAGGGGCGAGCGCGGGCACCGCAGGCCGGAGGATCCCGCCCTCACCCTCGGCCAGCAGGGCGGTGCACACGGAGATGAAGACGATGAGCAGCGTGTCGGCGAACATGGTGCTCATGGCGCTCGCCCGGCGCCCCGCCGCCGCGGGATGCGCCCCAGAGCCGGCAGGAGAAGCGACGGCTGCCCGGAGCGACCACCGAGCCGGACACCGCTTCCACACAGGAGAGCGCACTTCCGCTTCCGGGCCGCACCGGAAGAGCCGTGCGGGGCTGGGCTGAGCGGATCTCGCGAGAGCTGGAGCGGCGGCGGCCATGGCGGAGCGTCGCGCGGTCGGGACGCTCGACCTCTCAGTGTCCCCAGGGAGGCGGCTTTCAGGACAGCCTAAAACTCCTGACGCTTGGGTGACTGTTGCGTTCCAAAGACCCCAGGCCGGAGGACCTCAGCCCAAGCGCGAGGGTCCCGCTTCTCCGCCTGCTGGTGTGGGGCTGAGGCCCGGCGGAGCGCCCGAGCCCTCCCTGACCGCTGCTGGCCGCCGTGGGCCCCCTCCGCACCCGGCCACCCAGCTTATGGCTCTCCTTTAGCACGACTTTTGACCCAGGTTATTTGTGCATTTCTCGTCTTCTCTGTCAGACTTGGCAGAGCCCTGTCCCCTTTTAACAGACGCTGCCTGTGCCAGGAGCGATGGGACCTGGTAGGGTCAGAGGGTGATTAAGAGCACGCCTTACTCCAGGACTCCCAGGGAAAGTGCACGGCGTGCTGAGGTTCAGGATAGGTGCTCCACAGTGCCACGAGCCCACGCCCGGGGTCCCAGCCACTTAGAGGCCGAGGCAGGAAGGTCTCAACTTCGAGGTCAGCCTGGGTGATATGAAGGGACCCTGTTTCAAAATAAAAAGGACTGAGGAGGTAGCTCAATGACACACACAAAACTTAGGGAAGCACAGATGAGAACAAGATTTTTTTTTTTTTTTTCTGGAGGAGTTGGGAAGATAGCAAAAACGACATTTGGGCTAGACCTTGATTTGAGTAGCAGTTCAGATAAGGGTAAATGTGGATTTGTTTGTGCTTTTTGTTTTGTTTTGGGGTTTTGCTG